CCAAACCATTCTATGATTCTATGACTGTAAAACACGTAAGAAAACATGCTCTCAGCCTCTGGGTAAATCACACTATCTGGGTAACAAAGTTGAGGTTTTCTATAATAAGGTCAGCAGGTAACAGAGAAGTGAAGGCTATAAGCAAGCTGCTGCAGAGCTTTGACTAATCATGAAACTTTGTTTCATGTGCTTTTACAACAGAAGTAGTATGAACGTGATGAATTCTGGACTTAACAGACATATTGAACTTGTACTAGCTGTTGTTTCCATCACTTTGCAAGCTTTTTTTTTTTAAAAAAAAAAAATTAAGACAGGGTATTTAAAGTAAGATAAGGCAACCAAAATCAACCTCTTGAGATAAAAACTGCAAGAAAAGTGTAAATGACCAGACTCAGTTTTATATGCTATTACAAAATTAATGAATCAATATAATGTGACCAGAAAAGATCAATGTGAATTGCTAAATAACCTCTCATTCGATATAAGCTTAAGTTTCAGAGTAGTTTGGGGTTTTTTTCCCCTGTATCTAGCAAATACAATATCCTTGCATCAGTTAACAGTGTTGTGTTGGTATATGACAAGCACATCATAATGCAGATTCATATCAATAGTACTCCAACTTCTGATTAAAAAAAAAAAAGTTTTGATTAAACACATTTAGAGCAGAGGATCAAGGTAAGTCCTAGATTTGTTATCAAAACTAAAGTCCTGGATTACAGTTTCTCGACTGTCAGTGCAGCAGCAAAAATCAGGAAGATGGCAGAGAGCTTTACCAGTGTGTCCTAAATTACTCTTAAGCATCTGATGACTAATACCAGATTTGTGTTTACTATTTAATTAAAACAACTTACATAATGATAGTGTATGCATGTATGAACTTCTGCTTTTCTTACCATGCCTGACGCATTCATGTGCGGTATCAGCTTGGAATCCGGCACAATGACCTGCTGCTGAGGTGCTAGAAACAAAAAAAAAAAAAAGGCATTTAATGAAAACTACATAGTCTGCCTAAAATAACACCCAAGCCAGAATAACTTAGAACATCACCCAAAAATCAGCTGAGCTTCACAACAAAAACAGTTACTGAACAGTCTCTGATCTTATGAAGTTTTACTCTCAAGACAATACAGAACAGTAGCTCTTGGGAGGCAATATGGCTATTTTGGCTTTAAAAGATCTTATTCCAAGCATCAGTTACCTATTCTGACTATAGGTAAAGCAAGATTTACAATATATTTCTGAAATCAAAGGTATTAGTAAAAAGTTGATAAACTTGCTGATGTCCAGTATCAGAGTCCTCCAGAAACTTCAACTGACAGTGGCTAACTCTTAAAACAGTCTTAAATAAGGATTGTTGCAAGACGAAGACTATGCAGCAGTTAGTTTGAGTTAGGTCTAGTTAGCACATCTGTTAGCATAAGCTCACTGTCTTTCTAATACAGCAGAAGCAGATGAAATGTGTTCAAACACCTCTCCCAAACAACAAAATAGTTTTGGTATGCTAAAGGAAACAGATAGCTAGAACATGCAAACAACCCATTAATCATCTAGAAGTGCAAAAGTGTCCAAGTCTATGGAACAAGCAGGTTGCCAGTGCTAATATCAGTGCAAGCAAACTGGAAAATAATGGAGCAATTTGAAGAAGCTAATCATTGACAAGGTATTGTGCATCTGACCCCATAACCTAGGACACTTAAGAATACTGGGAATAAGTGAGACTTTCTGGAAAAGATTCTGGGGAGGGAAGCCCCACAACCTTGTACCAAGAGCTGAGCCCATCTCTCCAACTTTCAGGGAACTCAGGGAGGGTAAAAA